GAAAAAAAAGTTCTGGAGGCTAGTTGAAGACTGAAGCGTTCATGCTCATTTCAGAGATTTCCTTAGAGGGTAAAGAGACATGAAACTGATATTAAGATCCAGCAAACTTTTTTGGACCAAATAAATCCAAAATTTTCTTTGTGGAATCATAATCCGGACAGCCACGACGGAGGCGCGGAACATGGAGCGTCGGTACTTTAAGAAAACATTTTGTATGCATGCCATTAGGCGCTTACGGCTTGGCGTGTGAAGCTAAGCCTTGATGCTGCTGATGATGACGATGTTATGATAATGACGATGATTGGGTTTTAGCGTACACCGACTACTAAGCTCATTTTGTGCCCGAAGCCAAGCCTCCACCACAGCATGTGACATCCATGATGGTCATCTTGTCAGCTGAGATATGTTTTTGAGCGTCTGCTCTGGTTCTTGCTCAGTTGACTCTGACCATCGTTCATCCCTATCGCACCATTCATCTGTGTTTTCAGTGGAAGATACCCATTCAATCGACAATACACCCGTTTAAGCGGTGATCACCGAGTCGAATATTACTTAACTATTGTTCATGCATAAACCATACGTTTTATATCATATATATATATATATATATATATATATATATATATATATATAATCATGTGTATTATTCGCCAAGAATGTGTTTCCGTCTTCTACCAAGCTTTCCCGGTAATATGCTCCGTCCGGCTCTGGCTGTGGCTCGCATGCGTCTGCGGCCTTGCAGGGCGATGTGGCGCGGTCTCGGAGGCGCCCCGCTGACAGGGCGCCGACGGCTGACGCCGGCGCCGTTCGCGGCGGCCCGGCAGCGCATCGGCCAGACCTCCGCACGTCGCCGGCTTCTCCGGGGATCCGCCGCGGGCTGCCGCAGGGTCGCGCCGCCTCCACACCCTGCATGTGACCATCACCGCCGAGCCCTCCCACGCTCCAGCCGTCAATCGCCGAAGGAACGCGTCACCACGCCCGCGCGGCCTCCCTCGACGCCCGTCAGCCGTCGCCCGCTATCCGGACGGCATCTGGCTTCCCGGGCGCGCTCTTTTGTCGCAGTGTTCTCGGGAGCGGCGGCGGGGCGCGGGCTCTCACGCCGGCGGCGCCGACAAACAGCGATCCATCGCGGCCGGCCGGCGCGCGTCTGGCGATCGGTCAGCGGCCGTCTGCGCTCCTCCGGCGGCCGCAACACAGCCGTCACCGCCCCGCGACGGCCCGCGGCGGCCGGCGCGGCGCCGACACAACACGGCCGGGCTGCGGCGGTCGCGGGAGCGGCGGAGGGCTGCAGCTCGCCGGCGCAGGACGGGCGCCGCAGGCGTCAGCGAGGTCCGGTCAGGGGGCGTCAGGACCGCCGAACGCGGCTGGGAGCACCCGGCTCGAGCAAGAGTAGACACGAAGAGCGGAGGCACAATCAGACGATGTGCTCCCGATGATGATGATGATTTGAGCTTAAGTGCGCGCCGACTACCCTGGCCACGTAGCGCCCACTCAGCGTGCTCCCGCATTCCTGACCGATGCGGAAGCGGTCTTGGGCGTGCGCCTGTCCAGCACGGCCGTGACAGGCATGTCATGGAGACAGCGCGAGTGCCGTGGCGTCACCATGGTCAAACACGGCGGACATCCACCACCACCGCCCAGGTGAAGCCCGGCGAGAGGAGGTACCGCGCGGAGCGGTGAGGGCCGGCGGGATCTGCGCAAAGTTACCGGCCAGAGCGCTGCTCTGAGCACGCCGCCAGCGTGGGAACCGCCCGGCTGACCCGGGGTCCAGCCGCACTGCGGCAGCGGTCAGCTACAGCAGCTTCCCCGGGTGTCCGTCACGGCGCGGCCCGAGCCGAAGCCGAGCGGTTCAGGACGGTCCCAGCGCCTCCGCATCGATCGGAGGGTCCAGTGCGATCTGTGACCGCAGACACGAGCAAACACGCCGCAGCAGCTCGCCGTCCTTATTAGCGCGGCATCTGCCCATGCCGGGGAGAGCTTTGTTTTCATCCGCCGCCATCGCCAGGCGGCGAATAACGGCGGCGCTGCTGTAAATCCATCGAACACTCTACCAATAACAAGCTTGGTCGCAAAAACAAACGAATCCGCGCGCCGCTCGCCGCACTTAGAGTTCCCGTCGGATAATCCTTTGCAAGTCTGTGGGTTGATCATTTCATTGTTTGTCATTGCACCGCGGTGGCTCGGCGAGTTGTTAAGCCATCAACTTGTCGATGGCTGAGAGATGTAGTGAATCAAGTAGTGAATAAATGTCAATTAAATTGCAGTAAAATGTGACGAATGAGTACAGCAGCAAATGAATTATTCTTTCAGCTTTCACATCGGAGGAAAGATTGATCAGGTTTGAAGTGTAGAATATTCGACATGCCAGTTAATATCCAAGCCAGTTGACGCCTTTCAAACTCAATAACTAACTACCTCACCAGCTCAATAGGCGCCGTACCTAGCAGCCTTGTTACGGCAGGAACGGGTACCGGATAGCCAACGGACGCAGCGTCACGTCGCAAGCGCGCCTCCACTTCACGACCTACTGAACACAGACACAGAACACACAACACACACACACTCTTCACCTACACCGACCACACCGGGTCATCTCCGGTCAACAGTCGCGCGGCTTCTCACAGCCACGCCCCCATTCAGCGCGTGGCATTCGACGACCCTCAGTCGATCCCCCACCGTCGGGACGCACCGCTCACGCGGCGGGAAGCGGCCGCCGAAGCCCGCTCCCGGTGGCCGCGCCGTCCCGCTCGACGATGATCAGCGGGCTGGTTCCGGCGGCGGTCGGCGCGGCCGACAGGCCCGGGGCACCACCCGGGCCCGTGATGGATTGGCGAGGGATCCTCCGCTCGGCGCGCGGCTCTGATTCGGCCGGCAGAGCAGCGGCTAATAAGCGGAACCGGCTGGAATTAATCAGACCGGCCGACCTGCCCCCACCCCTCTCGAGTCCCGCACGCGAATGCCCCACCCCATCCATCAGCGGAGCACAATGAAACGTCAGCCAACTGCTCACTCCGGGGCGGGGTCGCCTGCCGCTCCCTGCTCCCGCTGCTCTCGGGGTCGCGTCTGTCCCCTGCTCCGGCGCCGACCGGTCCGGTCCCCCGCTCCCCTGCCGCCAGCGCTCGCTGTGAACGGAGCCGCGCTCGGACCGGACGGCCGCCGACGGCCGTGGAAGGCTGTCTTCGGCCGCGTTCTGACGTCGTCGACGGTCGCGGGCGGACAGAGCAGAACGCGATCAGCTCGCCGCCTGCTCAAGATCCCGGCATTCTGGGACTTCCTCGCCACGGAATGCTCCAGCGCCCCTCCATCTGTCCCGCTCATCATAGCCAGGCCTCGATTCGTGACGAGACATCACTCGTTGTGGATTACATGCGCGTAGCTCACCTAATTACAAGCGTGTAGTTCGCCGGAGTGACGGCTTCACATAATCACCACGCCCTTATACGCCGCGATAATAGGACCTAGCAGCATTCAGAATGGATACGATGCTGGTTTCCCATCCCTGGTTTTCTATTCATCCCCTCGGTAAGCGATACCGGGCGTACTTGTTCTTTCCTCCGTCGCGGTCTAGCTAAATCCTACGGCCGGGTCCGTTCCACAATCTCAATCCGTGCTCGCCCCCCACGCGTGACGTCACAAGATAATGCACGCCACCCCGCTGGGTTCTTGTTGAAAGGCTGCTGAGTTAGGACTCCCGACTCGGCGGCATCGCACACCTCGCCCGCGTCGAAATTCGCCTATCGCCCCGGCCCGGCCCGGCTATCGCCCCGGCCAACTGTGGGAACCGATGGGAAACCTGCAGCCAGCAGCACCGGACCAGCACGTCCCGGGGTTCCCAGGGCCGACCTAAGCCGAGGCCAACCAGCTCGAACCCGGCCGAGCTTAACTTCCAGTGAAGCAAACTGAATTAACCGCAAATGATATTCGCCGGCGTGAACCAAACCGAAATCAGCTACACAGACCACCAGGATTCGGGAGCGAGCTCAAATGAATCGGGCCCAGTTGTTCCACGAGTCAACAATCGCACTCTCCGCCGTCGGCACGCTCGCGCGAGACCCGTCTATCCTTCAGCGCCTCGGCGGACAGAGGCGGCCGGAGGCGGCGGCCGGAGGTGCCGGCCGCCGGGTGGTGACGCTCCCCGCCCCGCCCCACGCGCTGCAGCCCTCGCCGCACCTCCAGCCGGCCGGCCGGACGTGATCCCCCCCCGTCCGCAGGCGGTCGGCCTTGACGTTTTATCACTGGCCGATAGCCGGCCCGATGACGGCACACGTTGTAATCAAGCTCAATAACTGAGCGCTGGGCTCGGCCTGAACTGGCAGACGAGCACACGGTGCAGCGGCGCGGCCTCCAAGAGCGCCGGGCAGCGCCGGGCCCGGGCACTAGGCGCTCCATCAGACCCCTCGTGGCACGCTCTGGCACAAGGCACGTGGAGCAGCGGCGCAGCCTCGGCCAGCGACGGGCTCGGACACCCGAGCGCCCCACGAGACGCCTCGTGGCACGAGACACGCGCCCTTTTTCTGGTACTCACGGGCACAAAGACGCACTCGATAGATTTTGCATGGTGTGTAAATATAAGCCGCGTCACGAACGACCGGTGAAGGTCTTTGAACTGATGGATGAAGCAAATTGTCCAGATAATTTGCGCTCGTAAGAGACGTATCGCTGGGCGCAACCAGTTGCAAGGGGTCGCCATTTGACCTTCAGTCCCCGAAGGCCATGGAAACGTTACGGCCACCTGCACCCGGGCCGGTCGCGTTTCAGGCCACAAAGCAGCTGACATATCAACAACTCCCTCTCCCGTCTTTGTCCCACCTGTGGGTCTAAACAATGGAAAAGCCAAAGCCATGTTGAAAAAACAAACAATCACTGGTATCATGGCCTAACATCCATCCACAACTAACTCAGAGGGGGGACACCCCCCCCCCCCCCCAAGCACTCATTCCTTACAAGCATCCGTGTCCAGCAGCTGGCCACCTTCCGTCCAATGACGCAGCGGGACTTACTGTAGACGAGGAGGGCGAAGGTCTTGGTAATCTCCTGGTTGGTGCCGTAGCGAGCCTTGCAGGTGTAGTTCCCGGAGTCATTCTCCGTGATGTTAGAGACGAACAGCTCCCTGCCCTTTCCAGACGATGCGTCGCTCGAGTACAGCCTAAGGGTGCGGGTCGGGTCAGGTCAGGTCAGGTTAGGTCGAGTCAGGTCGGGTCGCAGCTGCGGGAGCCCACAGTTGAACAGTCGTGTTCCGGCTACGCTACAACAAACGACCAAGCCATGCAGGGGTCAGTACGGGTCAAGGTCACACCCCATGTCCAACGCAGAAAACGCAATTGGGCTGACAATGGTTATGTAACTATACATCCCACAGAGACTCGCATGCGCATGATCGGGGGGGGGGGGGGGGGCTGCGCTTTGCCGACAATTTTGACGATTGTGACATTTATATCTGCCGCCATCTTATACGTAAAAGAGCAAAAACGTCAGCACCTTGAGCCGGCGTAAAGAAGTCAACCACTCAATTAGCTCAATAGCTATTTTGCATCATCGTGCATTATCTCATGCCGTGCCATAATCATCGTATGCCATATAAATAATAAGCTACGTTTGTCAAAAGAATGCTACGAGGTAGCATGTCAACAACTCATCGTCAACATCAATTAAGCAGTTTGGCATGTTTGAAACTGCGCCTGATCCACGGTCGGTTCCATGGTCCACATAGTGACACGTGGCTTGGACCCCCCGCGTGCTTGCAATGATCAAAGTTGCCCAGAAGCGCAAACTTTGGCAAATCGATCCAGCATGCACAAGGCGCCAGTGCTGAGAGCAATTCAAATGTTTCTCGGCGCCGTTTCGTGAAAGGTTACGACCAAAACTGTGCCGGTCTAAGAATAACGCGCGAGCAATTCGTCGCACACCACCTCCCGGTTCGACTTCACCGACAGTGACACGTGCTCAGTGGGCGCGCGCTCAGAGAGACACGTGCTCAGTGGGCACGAGACAGTGGGCACGTGCCCCCCACGGCGCGGCGGTGACGGATCACACGGTTTGATTTCGGCGTGCGGTGAAGTGAAATGACCGCGGCCATCCATGCATGGCATACGGGATGCCGGATCGGCACGCCGGACACAATGCCGCGTGTGGCGACAAACGCACGGCTACGTAAGGACCGGCTGAATTTTGAGCACCGTGAACGCACGAGCATTACATTGATCGCCCAAGCGCCTGGCAATGAAACGCCGTCTGAGGTCAAGCCCCGCGGAGCTGCGGGGTCGTCCGAGGCTGGCTTCGCGTTCACGGTGCGGGCTACGGGGGCGCCCCCGGACCGAGGGTCCAGACCGGGGGCGCCGCGGGACCGGTCCGGGACCCGGGCCGAAGATGCCACGAGGCCGACCTCACAGCAGGACGCCAGGACGGCCCACTGGCCGGGAGTGCCTACAAGCCGCCAGCGCCCACGTCCCAGCCCGCCCATCGCCCCAGGGCACCGAGGCCCTAAATCAAGCCCGAATTAGAGCCGGCTGACGGAGGGCAATACCTGTCAGCCGCCACCAGTCCGCATCTCTCACGGTCAGGGCCCGAGCCAGCGTCATAAACGTCAGGACGGCGGGCTTCTGGCGCAGTGACTGTCACTTCGGCGTCATGTTCGTCACTCCGATCGCGTTCACGTTGTTGGGCGCATATGCAAGCTTATATCAATTTTACGGACCTCCTTTCGGCTCAGATTACATAAATCCGGTCGTGGAAACATTCCCTTGAACTTGGTTAGATTCATGAAGAAAACCAATACTAACAGGGAAGCCGGATTTTTGGTGGATTGATAACGCGAAGGACTCACATAGTCAAAGTCAGGTAGGTGTTTCATGGGCTTCTTTGACTTATTTGTGCAGTAACACGACTTGTTTGCAAGCCGAGAGGTATACCGGCTGGGGTTTGGTACATAACGCAAAAGGAGGGCAACACGTCGAACAGTTCCACTTCACCGCACGTCACTCATACGCAATACGCCTCTACGACCGGCATGAACGGCGTAGCACACATCAATACAAATGAGCCATACACGGATGCAGTTGAACCGCGAACACGAAACGACATAAACGCTTAACAAACGGACGGGAAATCTAGACATAAATCTACCACGCATAGCAACGACTTATTTATATTTATCTACACGATCCACCACACCTAAAGGGGAGACGCAAAGGTGTGATCGAGAGAACGATCTATCAAAAACAGCAGCACAATGCATCGGTGTAGCCTGAGTGCGTGGTGAAAAGCGACTGATTGGCACCAGCCATCGACAGAAGTCAAGAAAGAAGCCAAGAAATGCACAAGCCAGACATAAGCCGAGAAGAGAATTGGCAATGCGCCAAAGCGATGTCTCGGGCGTGACGCCGGCGAACGCTGACGTCACGCCCCCCCCCCCCCCTCATTGGTGTCCGCCGGCCACGAGCATGCCATGCACAACAGACAGCCGCCGCACGCCATGCACCGGAATGCAAGGGAAGGATCCCGACGAGACAGAGTCGGGCGACGGCACGGAGCCGGTCACGGATTGGACGGCCTCTGAGTGTCCGGTAGGCTGCGCGTCCCTCGCGACGACCATCGAACTGGCACGCCGCCAACACCGGCGCGACCCAGCGAAATTCGCTTTACAACTGTTTACTATTACACAACGCGGCAGCGGACGCGGCTCAGACGTGTCAGATAACCGGCCTGTTTATCCCCCTCCCCTCCCAGTTGTGACCTTGACCTTGGCAGTCCCTGATTAGCCGGCGCAAAAACCGGCCACATCCTCCGCGCAGCGCGAACAGACGTCGCTGCGTCTTGCACCACGCACGTGTGTCAACAGCCAGTGACCGGCGGTGGGCTTTGTGGGCCGAAATCGACGGAAGGACAGTCGCCGACCGATGTTTTGCGGTGCTCCGAACACGCCGACTCACACTCTGACGGTCAATTAGACCCTGGCAGTTCCATTTAATAACCGTTCGCGGCGCCTTCATGAAGCGTCACAATGGCCGCTCGTCGATCAGACGAAAGTGGCGCACCGGGTCGGCGAGCGAGGGGGGGGGGGGGCAGGTCGCGGCACGACACGGTCCGGGCACGTGCCGGGCCCGCCGCGCGGTACACTACAGCAGGTACGACAGCGCAGGAGAACCCGGCGGTCGTGTGGCATACCTGGGAGGCTGGGCTCCAGGGCTTGGAACAGGAAACGTGGCGTTAGAGACGCGTGGGACCAGACGCACGCTCCAAAACCGAGCGCGCAGCGGCGCGGCAAAGATCCCGAAGCCCCGCTCGAAAACGCCTCCGCCGTTCAAGCTCAACCGCCCGCAGGCACAGTCATTCCAACAGGGGTCGTCCAGAAGAAGCAGAGTCGTCGGACAGCGCAAGAAGAGCACTTGACGCGGCAGGTATGTACACGGACGCCTTCCCTCCCCCTCCCCGCCGGACAGCGGACGGAGACACCCGCCCCGCCCCGCCGAGCGCCGCCCCGGCAGTGGTCGACCGCCTCACCGATTCTGCCGCTCGTCAGGCACCTCCTGGCCGCGCGGGTCCAGCCAGACCACGTCGTCGACCAGCTGCTCGTGCTGCTGGCTGACGCGGCAGGTGAAGAAGCCGGTGGTGCCGAGGTCGCGGCGGATCACGCTCCCCGTCGGCAGGACGGTGAGGTGCGGCGCCTCCTGGGCCAGCGACACTGCCGGAGGGGGCGAGAGGTCAGCTGGCTGCGGCGCGCGGGGCACACGAGACGGACGCGTGGCCGGCACAACGGAGCCAGAGGAGGTCAGGCGAACTGCCCCGCCGAAGTGTCTACCATATGCGCATGGGGTCATAGCGTCAGCTGGAATGAAGTGTGAGCGGCTCGAACGCATCAACGGTCTTCTCGCAATACCTAACGAAGGATCAGATAGAGCTCCAGATAACTCCCGCCTGATCAGACGGCAGGTCCACTCCACAAAACTCCCCGGATTTAGGGGCAAGATCCCATCTATGGGCCCACAAATCCGTCCAGCGGTAACGTGAACACAGCGCGAGGGCTGTAGGGCTACTTTACGACGCTTTTAACATTTCAGATTCTATCTGAAATGAGGCGTCACGGCGAGTCACGAACACCGGCACGGAGGTCGGGTTCACGGAGAGCGAACAAATCCGGAGACTGCGCCGGTCAGGGGCATCCGTGTCTCCTAAGCAGGCGAAGATTCGGGAGCGACCTGGCACGGTTCTAAAACTCGGGCTGTAATTTTAATTGTTATTAATTATACATATAGTTTATATATATATATATATATATATATATATATATATATATGATTAATAATCAATATATGATTATATAAAAATGTTTAATTGTAATCAAAATTGTTACTGCAACTATAATTTTCTGCTTCCGCACATTCCATTCGAACACACTTTCCTATGGCTCGTTGCACGGCGATTCATGCATCCTCTCACCCGAGTTCTTTTCCCACAATATTCTTGGACCAACGCACCGCATAACTAACAACACATGCGAATCGATGCAGCGTGACGCAGTAACTCCTCGACGTCCAGGTGCAACACCGCATGGTCACCTCGGCCTTGACTTTCTCGTGCTTGCGTTAATCAATCCACAAAAACAATTCGTGTGCGCCAGCCGTCCGCCACAAGAAATAGTGGAATCGCGTGACTTCTCTCCGGCAGCAAAAAGGCTTTCAATTTTGTTTTCTGTGAAAACAAGGTCATTTCCAAGACACTCGTCTCAAATGGTGTAGCGGGACCATCGCAGCCACTCTCCCGCTGGTAATAACACCGGCAGTGGGCCGGCTAACTCGCACAATGTCACCAAACATCCCAACCGCCCAAAAGGACACGGGATACCGGACACTTTCCAAGTGTGGGAAGCACCAAGACACGTTTGTCATGATAGAAAGGACTGAATCTAACAAATAAGCTTCATTTCATCTTGCATAGGGCAGGCAGAAATGACTTTTGCTCCCTCTCTTTTCGGCGAGACGCCCCAATGGAAGCGTCATTTTGACACGCCCAATCCTTTCACACCTAGCTGCAAATGACCGCCGGTAGCCGGACATCGAACAGCCACTTCTGCACTACACACCTGGCACGAGCCATTAAAACCATGGTCGGCACCTGCCCGCTGCGACTCCACAGAAGCAAGAACCAAAACCGGTCGGTTCCCCGAGACGGACCACCGGCTCGCCCGGGGCGGCGCGTCAGCCCGCCGCCGCCGGCCCCAGCAAGCTCTTACCCAGCTGGAAGGCGAGGCTGATGAGCGGATTCATCAGCACCGCTGGTGAAGGCCCGCCTCCTCAGACCGCTCGCACCACCAGTCACCACCCGCGGCGTCCATGACCTGGGCCGCCGCGCGCCTCCAGTCACCGCCGGTACGCCGCGGCCGGGTCTGCGGCCGCCGTCGCCGACCCCGGCCGTCGCCTCGGGCGCTTGTGCGGCTTCGAAGGTCGGCCGCCGCCCCAGATTGGGCGCTCGCCACCGCCCCAAAAAACGCCACACCAAAGCCTCGGGGCGTTTTTCGGCCGCAGGTTCCGCTGACGCCGGTCGGCAGGTCGGATCGAGAGTGGCGGAGCCTCCCACGGCCGGCCCGACCGATAACGAGCGAGATGCCCTCGCGCCGCCCAGCTGACGCCCCCGAGCGGAGCTGAGCTCGGGCTCAGCGCAGTCCCATCAGTCTCCTGTCGCCTCACCAGGCCGGTCGACGATCCCCGTTAGTGAGCTTCTGGACGAATTTCGCAAACTTCATGGCCTCCCAGGGCCAGGCGACCGCTCTCGTCGCAGTCCGGTTCCGGCGACCGACGCGGGTCACGTCCCCCGCCGTCGCCGGCGTTCTGCCCACGCCCCGCGGAAGGGAGGGTCCCGCGGCCCTGCTGTCGGCGAGCTCTCGCAGCACGAGACTGCCCTCTCCGCGGCCGTCTCCGGCGGCGGCAGCTCAGGCGTGACATCTGCTCACCCCCGCTGGGCGCTGATGCGAGCTGTCCTGCCCGCGCCGATCGCGTCACGCGCCGCGCCGCGCCGCGCCACGCCACGCCACGCCGGCCGGCCCGCGGGCGGCGCCCTCGCCAGGCGGCGGACGCGCCGCAGGCGGCCGGCTGGGTGACGATCGCAGCGCGGAGGCGGCGGATGCGTCAACGAAACGGCGCGGGGGAAACGGCCGCGGCGTGGAAACGGCGCCCGTCGGCGCTGATCATAGCAGACGCCGCACGTGCTACGGACCGAGGCGGCGACGCCATGAATGCGGGAACAGTATCGACAACGTACGTAATACTTCAACGCAGGCTTCACATGGCGAACGGGGTCGTGCCCGTCGTGTCGGAACGAGGTCGGCGAGCGGGGTCCCACGATGAGGGTGTGTAACTCTTGTCCGCGAGCTTGCGTCGGCGGCGTGCGAGAACGCTCGCCACCAAGCAGCTCGCCTGTACACGCAGAACACGCACGGACACGCGCACGGCAAACCACCTGCAACCGTGAGCACGCGACCCTGCCCGAGTCGCAACACGGTCACGACCGCGCCGACAACGACGGCTAGACTGGGCGAATTCCCGCCCCAATGGTCTGTCAACGCCCAGCATGGTCAGCGGCGGCCCGCAGGCCTGACCGGCCGGCCACACGCACCAACTCACACCCAAACCGCACCGCAGGCGCGTGAAAACGGCCCCGAGTCCTCACAGCGTGTCGTCGCGGTTACATGTTCCGGTGCCCGCCTGCTATGATCGCCACGGTGCCAACTCTACGAGGAAGGGAAGGAGAGACCTTGCCGTGGCTGACAATGTGTGCCGCATGGACCCAACGGGGCACGTGCGTCAGTCACGGTCCCCTCTCATAGCGGGGGCCAGGCTGCACCCCGCAGAGGCTCGGGGCGGCCGTAAATGGGTGTATCCATCACAGCGTAATGGATACCGCGAAAACAGGAACACTGCGGACGAGGGGACGGCAAATCGGCTTACCTTCGGCTGGGCCGGGTCCCGGCGGGCGGTCATCACAATGATCACGGCCGCATTGTCGGCGCACGTGCCGTATTACCGGTGCGACGCCGTCAACAAAACGACGCTAATATATGACAGGGTAATGAGCGTCGCGTGCCAATCAAAGCCAGCGCGCGCGCACGACGCTACGTATAAATGAGGAAGAGTCGGGAGTGGGGGAATGACAAAAAAACCTCGTGATTCATGGCCGGGGCCGGGGCGGGGGGCGGAAGCAGAACGGATTGGCCTTCCCGGATTAACTCGGCCGCCCCAGGAGCCAATCAAGACGCGTTTCCAATCCGGCTCATATGCATACACGGCTCGAGCGGGCGTAAACAGAAAACTTATAACTGCCCTTAACCTGATTACGACAGTCGCCATCAAGCCGAGACCGGCGGCGGGGCACTTGTGGGTCCTCGTCAAATCAAGAACTGGCACAAAGCACGTGTGCTTTGGAAGTGCACACCCCATCATTGTGGGGGAGACCGCTTCCGCCACGCCGGTCCCGTTCAGCCGCGCCACCGCCCCAGCGGCGAGGAGTCGCCGCAGGCCGGCGCAGACGCACGGTCCCGCGCGGCCCCGCAGCGCAGCGCCCCGCGCGGTGCGTCGGGTCCTGAGACGGCTCCCGCTTCCGCAGCGCGGCCGGGTGAAGCAACTTCCTGCGATGGCTATCTGCGAGCGGCTGTCGCCCGCCGCCGGCCCGGCAAATGAGTTAGTGTGTGCCGCTGACGTCTGGCTGCAGCTTATGTCAATGTCAGGGAGCCGGCGACAGTTTTACGTCGGGCATTTAACGCCGGCGCTGGCGTTCGCGCGATTTCATCGCGCCGCCGCGTCAATGCCGGACTTCGTTATCGCTTTTTACGCGACGGTTTTAGCTCGCTCGCCGGCGGGCGATGTCCTTTCATTGCGGCCGTCGCGGCGCGGGAGCCGCTTCAGATTTCGTCCCCGACGAACATCAGCCACATCCGCGCGGGCTGCCACGCCACGCATGGCGCGCAACGGTGAATCGGTGTGAAATTGGCTTGTAGCGGGGTTCAGTGTAGCGAGTGAGGGCGCCGCCGCCTTGACTCGCTATCAGGAAAGATGTTCAAAGCTGGGAAGCGCCTTAACGCCAATACAACTGCACTTGAATACGCCCCATTCACTACTGTCCATTCCACAACACACACTAAACTCCCAGCAGTTGCAAGCGCCCCGGACTGTTTCGCATCACATCGCAGGAGCCTGCGTCTCACCACCGCGTCGGCGGCCGGCGGTCGGCAGCCCACGCGCAACAAAGGGTTGGTCTCCACGCGGCATCGGCCGCCGGGCCGCCGGCTCACTAATTGGTCCGCTCTGGCTCCAGGTGCAGAGCTCGTTATGCGCACTCCTGCGCCGGAGGTGCCACCCGGCGTATAATTGGGCGGGATAAGCCGCGCGGGCCGCGCGGACAAAGCCCACGCACCGACGTCGGGGCGGACCCGGTCGGCGGAGGCGGCAGGCGGCGGTGACGGCAGGCAGGTCGGGGACATTGCGTGGCCAACGCGACGCTCTGCTCCACGTGTTCGGGCATAATTGTCAAAATGCTCTCGCATGTCGCCGGGGGATATTGTTTGTTTACCTGCGTGCGAGCCGCCGTGCACCATCGCCGCATGCTCCGTGAGCGCGCGTGCGTGCGTGCGTGCGTGCGTGCCGCGGGGCGGGCCGGCACGCCGCGCCGCGCCACGCCATCCGTTTTAATTGC